CTCCTCAGCCCAAACCTCCTGATGACCTCTCCCAGCAGGGGGGGACAGTATCGAGCCCTGAAGAACCCCATGACATAAATGCCATGGGGCAGAGCGACTGTCCCCCAGCACCACCCTCTGGACACGGTCAGCCAGGAAGGAGCGGAAGCACCGTAAAACAGTGCCCCCAACTCCCAACCCAGCCAGCCTATCCAGAAGGACACCATGGTCGATGGTGTTGAAAGGCGCTGAGAGGTCCAGGAGTATCAACAGGGTCACACTCCCCCTGTCTCTGTCCCAGCAAAGGTCAACGTACAGGGCGACCAAGGCAGTCTCTGTACCAAAACCTGGCCTGAAACCCGATTGAAATGGATCCAGAAAACCTGTTTCATCCAGTAGCGCCTGGAGTTGCCCGGCCACAACCCGCTCCAACACTTTGCCCAAATAAGGGAGGTTCGCTACTGGTCGGTAGTTATCCACAAGCCTTGGGTCCAGGTTAGGCTTTTTAAGGAGTGGTCGAATTACCACCTCTTTCAAGGTGGTAGGGACCACTCCCTCTCTCAAAGAGGCGTTCACAGCCTCCTGGACCCAAGTGCGAACTCCCCTGGCAGATCTTCCAATTAGCCAAGATGGGCAAGGATCAAGCGGAGTGGTGGTAGAACGGACAGATCCAAGCACCTTGTCCGCATCCTCAGGTCTGAACAATTGAAACTCATCCATTAATATTTGACCTAAGCACGGCACACTGGACACTTCTTTCGATTTTGCAGTAATGATGGAGTCCAATCCACTGTGAATCTGAGTGCTTTTTCTCTCCAAATGAATGGCAAACTCATCATAGTGAGCTGATGAGCAGTCAGGGACCTCCACCGGATTTCCCGGTTGAAGAAGATCCCAGACAACCCGAAACAGCTCTGCTGGATGACGTTCTGAGGAAGCAATATGGCTGGAGAAATATTGCTGTTTTGCCAGCTGTATTGCCATGAAACGGGCCCGATAATGGGCTCTAAGTCATGTTTGATCGAACTCCCAGTGGGTCTTCCTCCACCTGTGCTCCAGCCATCTCCCCTCTCACTTCATCGCCCACAGTTCAGAAGTATACCAAGGAGCTGTCTGGGCTTGGTGAGCAGGGAGAGGGCGCTTAGGCAGAATCGTGTCAACCACCTGGGTTATCTCCCTATTCCATAGGGTGACCTGAGCTTTGACAGGAGCGCCAACCATATCAGACAGATAATCCCCCAGAGCATTCAGGAAACCATCCGGATCCATTAGTCTCTGAGGGTGGATCATCTTAATGGATCCCCCACCTTTGCAGAGGGAAGAAGAAGCTAATAGAATAAACTTGACCAGGAAGTGGTCTGACTATGACAATGAGGTCATGACAAGCCCCTCCACGTCCAAACCACAACCTTCCAGTCCTGTTGAGAAAACCAGGTCCAAGGTATGGCCCTTCTCATCTGTTGGGCCAATGACACATTGAGACAGCCCCATGGTTGTCATGGCGGCCATGAAGTCCTGAGCCGCCCCAGTCAAAGCAGCCTTGGCATGGATGTTGAGGTCCCCCAGCACCAACAGCCTGAGGTCCAAGACTACCTCCATCAGCTCAGGCAGGGAGACTGTTGGTACACAGCAGGGTGGGCGGTACACCAACAGAATCCCTAATCTGTCTCACAAGCCCAACACACAATACAGGCCCTCAGTACCTCCTCTCAAAGGAATCTTGATATTGATTTTGTGGTATTTCAGGCTGTATATTAGTGAAGTATCTCCATCAAACAAAAAAAAAACTTAGTTTCCATTTCTGGAGTTCCATTTCTGTTGCCTCCTATGGATCTACAGTTATCTAACTGAGATGACATGAGCTAGGATGCCATAAAGTCAAACAGCAATCACTGGGCAATTTGACTTTTTCACTTATTTTGCAAAGAAATGTTCATTACTTCTTATGGAAGCATAAAAAGGTAGAAATAAAGTCTCCATTTGTTCAAGATCAATACTTTCCATCCCATCAGTGTCCAATGGGATCTTTGTCATAATTCCTCTTGTTTTATTGAATTAAAAATCAAGTATTCATAGGATGAAGTCCTGGTAATAAGGGACCTCTCCTTCCATGCAGACCTCACTGTTGCCCCTAAAAGCTGGGTTCAAAAGGTTTCTTAGCCTTTGAAGGAATGTTTTGGAGGTGCATGGATGGCTACAATAGGAGAAGAAGGGGAATCACATCCTCCTAATTCCAAAGCATTCTGATCTTCCACCAGCAGAATGCAGAATTTTTATCAAGCCCAAGGATATACCAATTCCTTAACAACACTGTTGATCTCACTGTCTCTTTTATCTTAAAAAATTGGGATACATTACTTACGGTTAATTTGGTTGACTTGGAGGTAGTAATTTTCAAGATGTTCATTTACTGTTGGAATGCTTTTCAGCTGATTATAAGAGAGATCCAGCTCAACAAGTGTGGAGATATTCAAAGCATTGCCTGGTATTCCAGAATCGGTCAACTTATTATGAGACAAACGTAGATACTGCAGTGCTTTAAAACCCTTGAAGTATTCAGCAGGAATGTTGGTAATCTGATTATTGTCAAAATACAGCATCAGTATATTAGGGGGCAGTCCCAAAGGCAGCTTAGAAAGTTTATTGAAGCTCAGATCAAGGTACAAGAGTGAATTTAAGCCTTTAAAAACCCCAGAAAGTGTATCTTCACTGAGTGCATTGTGCTGTAGGTGAATGACAGTCAGATTTACTAATCCTTCAAATGTATTAGGATTGGCTTTTGAAATCTTGTTATGAGTGAGCTGCAGGTCATCCAGAGTATTGGGAAGTGGCCCAACAATTTCAGTTAGGTTGTTGTAATTTATATGCAGTTTTTTCAAATTCTTTAATTTGGCAAAGACTCTGCCTTTAATTTTTGAATTTTCCAGGTGATTATTATCGAGGATCAACCACTCCAGATCTGTTACATTATCAAAAGCATTCTCTTCTATGCCTTCAATCATGTTATTGCGGAGATATAGATATTTAATTCCAGAAGGAACAATTGGCAGACTTTTCAATTTAAGATTGTCACAGTACATTGCTGTTGGATATGTTATAGGGCAATTACACTCAGGTGCACATACTGCTGTTGATGGCCCATACATTGAGGGAGCATAACCATAATCAGGCTCTGAAGGATAATATGGATCATAATCATATTGACAGAAGATGCCACTGATCAAGAAAAAGAAGAGAGGAAGAGTATTCAGATGCATCTTTGCAGTGTGGGTTGTTTCTGTTCAGGGAGATAAAATGCACAGAATTACCTAAAGGAAGGTTTTGATGAATAAAATACAAGTTCATACCTCTATGCAATTTTTGTGCATAGTTGACATATCATAAGTAAAAAAGTCTCCATGTCATAGGTATATATTATTACATTATGAACGGATAATTGTTTTCTATTTTATTTTATTCAGTAATATTACAGTTAGCTATAGGAAATGTAGAGCCAGTTGCTATTGGGTGTTAATAGATACAATTGAAACAAGATATCAAATGAAATGTTATTGTCTTGTGAAGCTATCTTAAATATTTAAAACTGCAATGTAGTGAAAATACTAAAGATACGGTAGTGTAGCACAAAAGAATGCACTATTAACTACTAAAACTAATAGATCTGAACAGAAAACATTTGTCCCAAATCTGACTGATATATGAGATACAAAGCAAATGTGTAACCTTAAACCATCAAATTTTTAAAACCAATATATTTGTCCATGGATGAATAAAATGAGATGATTCAATGTGCTTGGAGAAAGTATGTGATGCATGGTTGTACCTATTGAAACAGGATCTCCATAGACAGTACTTTCATACAGCCACCAGCTGTTATAAATGTGCATGCTTCTCTTTTGGCATGCATCCACATCGCTGCAATTGGCCTAAAGGCATTCACATTTTCCTCTCTCACTGGTATACAAATGGGAGAAAAATGAAAGGAATAAACTAGGGCCTTTATGTTGTGTTTATAATATTTTAATTAGGTCATCAGAAAGCAGAAACAAATAGATGTAGAGATGGCTTCAGTAAGAACAAAGACTCATGGGAAAGAATTAGTTTAATGGTGCTTTTCTTTGTCACATGCTTCTTTCCATCTTTGCAGAAATGTTCTTAAGTACATTGTATAGACTTCCATATGTCTCCCACCAAGTACCATAATTCTTGTTACTATGTGCCATCAAGTGACTTTTGACTTACAGTCAGCCTTTGATCTCCAAAATATACTATCATCAACAGCCCTGACAGCTATTGCAAACTCAAGACTGTGGCTTCCTTTACGGAGTCCATAATATATGTACTGAGCCAACTATGCAGAAGCATTTAAAAAAAAACTGCTGCATCATCATATAGTGCCTAGATTAATGATTTATGCATGTAACCAATTTTCATATAGCCCTGAACAGCTGTACTGTTTTGGGATAATCATAATAAAAGTTCATACCTTGATGTCCTCTATCTTTTAAATCCTCCATATATGCCTGGTTCAATTATAGTAGGAGGACAAAATGTGAGGTGCAAACGCCATGTATTCAATACCAATAAGCACCAATTTTTGTAATTGGTGTATGTGTACAATTGTACTAAGACATACTGCTTGTGCTGATTAGCTGGAGACCACACCCTCTTGAAGTTTCTAGTCCTAAACACTGTCATCTCTCTTGCAGTTTATATAAAAATATATATATTTAAATTGTTTTGATATCTATTAAAATGATAAATATTTGCTTTAATTTAACCATCTCTTTCACAGAACCTTTTGGACAAATTCATAGTAAAATATAGAGAAGCTGAAAATGTTGCTAAAATTATTCTCAACACTAAGATGTAAGTATTTCTTCTAGATTTTGTCATTTGCTTCCAATATTTACTTATTTGTCCTGTGCTAACTAGAAGCCACTTGGTGCCTTGAAAGTCTTTTGGCAGTGTAAGATTAGGAAGATGGGAGACATATGGAAGATATTTTTGGCTTTGTTTTTTATTTGTTGGAGTTAAACTGTGCCGTAAACAGATTTAGATAAGAACACACTCCAAGCCAAAATTTTCAGCTCCGGGTATTATAGGTTAATGTTAATTGGATGGTGTTATGCGGTACATCAGCCTTCTTTGATGTAAAGCAATTGAACACATATACCCTACTTCTGTAAAAGCACAGAAAGTTATTTTCCGACTCCCAAGGCCTCAAGTCGCATTCTGTGTCCTTATAAATACTGTAGTTCTAAAATATTTTTGCTGTGTGTGACATACATCTGGGGACAGAATGTATTTCTAAAACTAGTTCACTCAGAGAACAACTGGTCAACTCAGCTAAATTTACTTACTAGTTTACTAACTTCCTTTGAATCTTGAAATATGAAAAGGGTTAAGTGGATGTAATACTTATCTGGAAAATAATTTATCATAAGTATATGACCAAAGACATATAGAAATATGACAAAAATACATTCTGAAATGTTAGTTATAAGCTTATAATTGTTTGTTATGTGAGTAAGGAATGACATGTAACAATTTGTTTAATCTATGATCTGCTAAAGCATACTAAATAACTATGCTGATTCAATACATCTTTTTAAAAAGTTGTTAATAATTCTTCCTTAGGTTTTGTAGACTAATATAAATATCTTACATAGGTGCACTTACCAGTGAACTTAGATTGCATTTTCAGGGCACTTTCCTGACATAAACATTTGAAAATATTTTTGTAGAATTTGTGTAAATGTTGCATGCAGCAGTAGAGTCATTTGGCACTTCCAAATCACATCGTTCTTTTATACTAACTGTAACCAAGCTAACAATCTTTATCCACTTAAAAATGTTTCTTTCTGAAGATTTCAATATAGCTCCATAGAAATAGAGAATTAATATATTGACACAAAAAAGTGCTTTTGCAATCGTTTTGATATTAATGCTTTATAATATTGTAGTTTTAATGGAGTCAAATGCAGGATACTTATTTTTCAAGTCTAACTCCACCACCCAATGATTTATTAATTCAATACAGATATTTTATTTACTATCCAATCTTGTACCAATCAATAGTTGGACGAGCAAAGAATTGCATGTGAAAAATCTTCATTTCATCCCTAAGGTTTGGCTGTTGATAATGACCCTTCTTCTAGAAGCCAACATGTTCATCAAAGTATAACAAAAACCCACAGAGCATGTGACGAATTTCAAAACAAACAGTGAAAGGAAATACACAAAAGCAACTATGTCAAGTTTGCAGTTTGGCAAAAATTCTGACAAGTTCTCAGTACCACTTTGTTCAGCTGCGGGATTGTTAGTGTTAAAGCATGCGAGGGCACTTACCTTTCTGACGTGTAGCTGCTTGCTTTAATTCCCACAGCAGATTGAGTAAGGGACTGGGTCGACCAATATATGCTATAAACAGTGTCAGAAGGTAACTGGCTGCCAGATCCTCTGCGATACAAGGGCTTAGGGGGAAAAATCCTAGTCACGCTGTTGTCTGAAGCTGCTATGTCATCATGGTGGTGTGGTATGTAAAACGGCTGCTGTTTAATGAAGTGCAGGTGGACACTGCGAATGGTAAAGGACAACCCATCTGTTCTCTCCGTGGAACAGGAGCAAGATAACCCTTTTAAGCAACCTGAGGAAGTTGAGGCTGTCTACCATAGAATGAACAACAGCTTTCTCAAGAGCAAAAACCATTTTTAAGTAATGTACAAATTGCAAACAGACATTGCCTTCCCCCCCACCTCTTGCTCATTTTGTAGCCCTAAGCAAGACTTAACAAATAACATTAAAACCTCGTTATAGCCACAAGACTTAAACCAAATGACTCATTCACTTTTTCTTGTTTTTCTTTCTGATAAGTTATGTACATAGTAATTTTATAAAACTCTCTGCAGTGGAAAATGCTGAATAAGATTTTCCCTCACCTTATTTTATTTAAAAAATAGTCTTGAACATAGGAAAGTACAGATTGGAGAAGGTGTTCATGGTCAAATATGCAAGTACAAATAATTTTCTTTTACAATTTAGCCTAAATTTATGCCAAAAAAAGAGATTATTATTGGAAAATATATCAATCCAGGGATAGAAGTAAACAATTGGCAACTTCTGCAAAAGTACACTAGCTTTTGTTCCTCTTGTGGCTAAAAGACCTCCAGAATCTGGAAACAATCAGTTGTGTATTGTCTGTTTCTTGTTTTGTGGATGATGTTCAAGAATGCATCCTAAGGTTTGGATGAGCCTATTGTTGAAATAAGCCACTGCCAAAAATAATGTAGTAAAAATAATAAGGCAAATGATTGGCAAAGCCTTAAGTATTTATTCTGGTTCTGATATCTCTATGAAACTCCCACGAAAGGCCTCCATTTGTTCTGGGATTCATTTTTCTTCTAATGACTCATCATCTCATACACAAATGATAAAGTATGTGGCATAGAGAAGGGGGAGGACTATTTCAGGGCAATCTAGAAAGAATATACTACTGTATCACATGAAAAGGGCTGCAGCAATACCGTGTTTTACGTACAATAGACAAAGTTACTTAATGACACCTAATAAATACATTCAGATATACTTTTGTTTGTTAGCCAGTCACCTCCCTTGCAGAATCTGTAACCAATCTGTATATGTGAGGGGCCTTATCACTCCCACCACAGCATCTCTCTACATCTCTCGCCTTAACTTAGGGGCTGTGTACATTTGCCTTGCAATAAGCTCTGTTCTAAATAGAACTGATTTAGAAATCACATTGTATCAAATGGTATTTGGGTCAGTATATGTGTCACTGGAAGGACAGATCCTGAAGCAGAGGCTCCAACACTTTGGCCATCTCATGAGAAGAGAAGACTCCCTGGGAAAGACCCCGATGTTGGGAAAGTGTGAGGGCAAGAGGAGATGGGGACGACAGAGGATGAGCTGATTGGACAGTGTCATCGAAGCGACCAACATGAATCTGACCCAACCCTGGAAGGCAGTGGAAGACAGGAGGGCCTGGGGTGCTCTGGTCCATGGGGTCACAAAGAGTCAGACATGACTTAAGGACTAAACAACAAGAAATATGTGTCCTATGGGGAAAAAATTTAAGCTGTATTGTTTCTCAGTTAAAGGGACTCTGGATGAGGGTTAATAAACTGAAACTCAATCCTGACAAGACGGAAGTGCTGTTAGTGGGTGCTTCACCGGACAGGCTGGAGGGCCATTTCCCTGTCCTGAATGGGGTCACACTTCCCCTAAGGGAAAGGGTCCACAGCTTGGGGGTGCTCCTGGACTCCAGTCTAACTCTGGAAGCCCAGGTGGACTCGGTGGCCAGGGGCGCCTTCCTTAAGCTGCGGAAATTATATCAGCTACGGCCCTACCTGGACGAGCGGAGTCTCATGATGGGTGCTGGCTGGATCACTCAGTGGATTTGGCATCTGGCTGTGGAACCAGAGATTGGGATTTCAGTTCCCCATTGTGCTTCCCATGTGTAGAGTCATCCTCTGTGGCCTTTGGCAAGCTGCACAGGAAGTCCCCAGGATGAAAGGTAGAGTACTCAGAAAAACTATTTCTGAGTACGCTACCTGGGAAGCCCTGAAAAGGATTGTCATATGTCAGAATTTATTTGATAGCACATGATGATGATGGTGATGATGATGGTGATGATGATGATGATGATGATGATGATGATGATGATGATGATGATGATGATGATGATGATTTGAGGCTTTGTTCTGCATCCACCCGCCTTACCCTCATGGTGGCCACTTGCCCCTGCTACTCTGGGGAGGTGAGGGAGGGAGAGGGTCTGCTGGCAAATCTCCTTGTCCCTTTAGAAAAAATTGACCACTTCTGTCCCTTTCAGAATGCTGAAGCAGCTGTCAGCAGCCTGATTTCCCCAGCAACCCTGCTGATTTCTCCTGAGTTTTCTCTGGTCCATTTTTAACTTTGTTTCATTAAAAGTTGCCTGGAGAAGAAAGGTGGGAACAAATAAGGCAAGTAAAGGAAATTTGTGCACACAAACTTGCCAAAGAGGGAAATAACCTATAGCAGGAGTGCGGAGCCCTTGTGAGAGAAGAACTGGCCACACCTTCTCCTTGTCTTCACCTCCCAGGGAACAGCATAATAATTCTTAAAGGGACAGAAGCAACCAAGCTTTCTTAAAGGGACAAACAGCTTTTACAGCAGCCCATCCATCCCTCTGTCCTTCTTGCTGCTTCTCCCACTGCCTCCACTGGTTACCTGAAGATGCAATTTGTAGTGACAGAGGGGTATGCATATTCAGAAACAATTGAAATAAATACATGTGTTCTATAATAAATGACCCTGTGGCAGAGCAGTATTTTAGGTTGTTTTCCAAACAGAATTCACATTTCCCTGGTGAAATAATTCATTATTTCATTTATGTCATGGCGACACCTTATTTTAAACTGTTTTTTTAAGCAGAACATGGCACAACAGCATATATTATTTTCAGTGGAACCAAGCCCTCACTCTGTCAGTTATAGCTTAAAAAGTAGGAAACAACTTCCCAAAACTGGCTTGCTCTTAATTTGCTTTTGCATATTGCTTAAAACTAATCATAACAGGCTTGGCCAGTCACCAGACATAAACAATTCTGAGTGTGTGGATTCCTCAGATGTTCTCAAATGTTGCCGTGCATTTCTGAGATCAATCAGTAGGCAGTGCAGACCTGTAGTCAGTTAAGAAGCTATGGTGGTAGAGAGAGGGGAGAAGCATATAAATGCCCTCTGTACCCATTCACTACAGCCTCCTCTGGATGTCTCTTTTAAAATACACAGGATATTTCTAAAAAAACAGGGTAGTAGGTGCTGCTGAAACAAACCAGATTTCCTTGTGAAGCACTGAATTGAAGCTGTTGCTTATAGGTCATTAAAGATATATATAAACATCACCCTCCGGTTTATGAATGTGGAATATTGGACTTCTGTGTTCACAATTCAAAACTCCAGAAAATGGCCTGATATTCCTGCACAATATGGTACCCACATTGCCAGCATCAAAAAGAATACATAGCAAAGGACAGCCTGAATGTTGACACTACACATGTCAGCAGCCAGCCTGAATGTTGACACTACACATGTCAGGATGGTCTACAGGAAGCCCTCTTATGCTCACTGCCATTTACCAGAAACTGACTCCATGGTCTACAGGAAGCCCTCTTGTGCTCACTGCCATTCACCAGAAATTGACTCCTTTTTTCATCAGTTAACCACTTCTCACCCAAACACAAACCAATAGTCAGGACTGTTTCTAGTCTGCACAATGCAGACTAGAAAGCTATCTTCCAATTTCTGAACCCTTTTTCTACAAATATGCTGCCTGCAGGTTTTCCAGAAGATATCCACTCATCTTTTTTGAAATAAAAAGGGGAACTGGGAATTAACAAAGATTGTCACTTGAAACTCAGGACAACATTGTGCATACTATGCAAAAGATAGACAGTGAAGAAAGACAAGGGGAAATCAACTCATTTGAAATGTAATGCCAGAGATAAGCCTTACATACACCACAGACCACCAGAAAGACAAATAAATGGGTGTTCAATCAAGTCAAACCTGAACTTTTACTGTATCAAAAGTGAGACTATCTTACCTTGAACAGTGGTGCCTCGACTTACAACCACACTCTGTCCCAGAGTATGGCGTAACTCAAAATGATCGTAAGCCGAAGCACCATTTCCCATAGGAATGCATCGGAATGGGATTAATTCACTTCAGCATTTTTAAAAAAATACCAAAAAATACAAACAAACAAAGCCAGTCCCATCAGAATGTGATGGGGTTGCAAAAACACATCTGAAGTGACCTGATGGCACATAACATCTGTAGAAATGCATTATTAGTTTTTAAAAAAATCAAACACAGTCGCTCAAAATTATAAAAACATTGACTGGTATCATATAACAGATACAAGTTTTAACCAAAAACCAACATATCTGTTAAACAGCACAGTGTGCGTGCTGTTCTTAATATTGCCATATTTTGTAGCTCTGATGTTGTTATATCTGAGATCAGGAATTGCTTTTAATACTGTGTGAAATTTCTTGATTTTGTTAAAATGACAAAGGTGACCACTGAAGTGTGTTTTATCCACAAGTGAGATGTTTCAATTGCTAGATCTCTGTATTTTGTTAGTTTTTCCAGTTCTTTAGCTTCAACTCTGGCATCTCCTGGAATTGCAATGTCAATTATCCAGATATTTCTTATTTCTGTCACTACTATGTGAGGTTTGTTAGGTGTCTATCAGTTTGGATGTGAAAATCCCACAAGATCTGGACTTCATCATTTTCTGACATCTTCTCTAGGTGAAGTTCTCATGAGTTTTTGGAGGCTGGCAAGGTTTTTTTTTTTTTTTTTGGCATAATGATCAGTGCACTAATTTTGCCACTTTGTCATTTCTAACGCTGTAATCTCTTTACAAATGAGGTGTGACACAGTTTCATCTTTTTCTTGGACATTTGCTGTTAGCACTAATTCCTTGAATCTTAGTTTTGATCACATTGGTTTGGAGTGCTTGTTCTTATTTATTATTATCCTTATTATCATTGTTGTTGTTGCTCCTGCTGTTGCTGTTGCTGTTGTTGTTGGGAAGATTTCTATAACATTTCACACTTTCTCTGCAACCTATACTGAACCAACAAGCAAGTTTAAACATGTTTATGAATAATCTAGCC